ATATTTTAGAATATAAAAATACTAAGAGCATCCCTAATGAGGGGCTCTATATGGGGCTAGAAAAGTGGTGGATATGGCCTATGTTAGAGCTCCGAGGAATCTTTGGGGCTTTATAAAAGAATCTCTCCCAATGAGGGACTATATCTTTCAGGCTCTATATGGGGCTATATACATTTATTTATGTAGTAATTTAATTAAATGATGATTTATTTTTTATTTTTTATTTTTTTTTGTGTTAGTTTTTCTTAAGTTGATTTTTGGACGTGCTATCTTAAATTTTTTTTTGTGAACTCTTCAACCTAAAAAGTTCAAATTGTGGCAAAGTTAGATTTCATCACTTATGAATCGTTCGTTGGATTAGATTTCCTTATCTCAATCTCATCCGTTGAAAGAAACAAACCCTCACTTTGGTCTCTAAAATAATTTGATTTTCACGTATAACACAACAATTTACCTAGCACCAATTGATAGATTTGTATCATACAATTTTGAAAAAAAATTATTTGAAATTTTCACCCATCAATGCCCATGAACGTTAAATCAATTTGAATTTTTAATTCTTATAGAATTAAAAAAAATAATTAATTAAACAAATTGCAAGACAAATAAGTAAGAAAAAAGAATAAAAAAAGAATATAAAAATAGAGTATAAGTGTATTTGCAAGTGGAGGGAGAGTGATAGAATTTTCCTCATATAGGTTGCTACTTTTTTTTGTGGGACCCACTGTTTTTTGGAGCTAGATGTAGCCTGATTTTATGCTACTCAAGAAAGGAAGTTGCTAGCCTCAGTGGTAGATCTAACCCTATTTTCCGGCTCATTGAGGATGAAATTTCTCGCTAAGGCTAGAAATGTGGTAGTCTCGTGGAGGATAAAGCCCCCATTGGGGACGCTAAATGGACTCTCCATTGACTCTTTGTCACCTCAAAGTTGGCCATGCTAAGAGGATCTCAAAAGGAGTTTCCAAACTAGACAAGTCCATTCTCTCTGTCAGTTTCGATCCTAGGACCTATTGCATTCGACATCCTCAAATCCAACTATGTACTAAGGAACTGGCTCAACAGGAGTAGAATTGGGCGTACAGAAAATGTCACGAAAAGCACTTCAATCACTCTTGTAGTGCCAAGTAAAATAAACAATAAAATGATTTCTGATTTATCCCTCTTACAACGAAAAATCAATTGTAGCATGTAAGGTTTTTTCATTTGCTTACTTATTTCTTTTAGAGAACAAAAATTCATTAGAAATAGTAAAAAAGTATATACGACAAACATATTAAACGTATCTTAGAATAACTCAAGAGACTACAATGCTATAAGAACATCATAACCCTACCATTACAAAACACATCAAAAATACAATACAATTTTTCAAACATGGAGGAACCTTAGGCCATCTCCAACCGAAGGATCCAGAGGGTCAAAGGGTCGAAAATAGCCCGAAAACCGTCTATAACCAAGAGCCAAGCCAAAGGGCTTGTGCGCCCCACTAGACAAAAAAGGGCCAAAAGGCATGTGGGGCCCACTAGATAAAAAAGGGCCAAAGGGCCAACCGGCTAGCCTAAAGGAACCAGCTAGCCCGAGCCGAGCCATAATTTCAAACACAACGGCTAGCTGACGTCAATTACTATTGGATTTGACTTTTCTTTTTTGGGCCAAATTTTTTAAAAAACTTCTCATGTTTTCCTATAAATACCTAAGTCATTGCTACACCATTTGTCACATAATTTTCACCATTCCTACACCAATTCAATTCTCATATTTTCTTACATCTTCCAATAATATTTCCTTCATTTTTTTCAATAATTTTCAAATGGCCTCATCTGCAATGAAAGGTAGGGTTTGGTCCTGAAAAGAAGATGAAGTTCTTTGCAAGGCTTATAGATGGGTCTCGGAACATAGTGCGAGGGAGACTTCTCAAACAAGCGAAGGTGTTTGAACTCGTGTGTCCAAAAAATACTATGAGTTCTACGAAGACACCACTCCACTGAATACTCGAAACCACGAGAGTTGTTCTTCAAGATGGAAGAAACATCTTCATCCAAGTTTGAATAAATAGCATCAAGCACTGTTAGCAGCCACAAGTAGACATGAAAGCAGCGCCAATTGCTACGACGAAGTAAGTGTTTTCACAATTTATTTTAAATATTTAATTATATTACATTTAATTTCATAACTTAATTTCCTTTAATTTTTGTAATTATATTTAATTATATTACATTTAATTTCATAAATTATTTACCTTTAATTTGTGTATTTATATTTTCTAGGTACGCCAAGTGGAGAAATTGTATATGGAGGGCAGCTCGAAACCTTTTCAGTTTCATGGTTGTTGGGAAATATGTAAAGGGTGGGTGTTATTTCAAGATCCCCCTCAACATAGAGTAGGTCCTACCCTGGTGTTCGGAACTGCATCCTCAGTTGTAGATGGTGATGAAGATGGATCTCCGACCATTCAAGAAACAAGGGTAGAAAATCCGTCTTCTGGTGAAGGTTCCATACCTAGAGCTATGGGGCGAAACAAGGCCCGAAGGTTGAAGGAAAAGGGCAAGGCAAAGGATGATTACACCACTCAACAGGAAGTGGCGGCCTCATTGCGATTAATGGCAGAACAAAATGCCTTTGCCGCGGAAGAAAGGAACCGTAGACATGAAGAACGGGTCAAACAAATACAAGAAGAGATGGATGATAGGAATATGCAAATGAACACTTCGGATTACACTCCAATGAGTAAGGCCTATTTTGATAGGAAAAGGAGGGAAATTATGATCCGGCGGCATTTGTTTACCTCTGACTATACTCCTACAATGGCGGATGACGAAGATGATGTTGATTATGGACTTTAAATTTAAGTTGTAGTTTTTAAATATAGGTTGTAGTTTTTCAATTTAAATAATAAATTATGTCTGGCACTATGACCCTTTGGTCCTCGGTTGGAGATGGTTTTTTGTCACAAGGCTATGTTTGGCCCTATGACCATTTGGCCCTCGGTTGGAGATGGTAAGAAATATGGCCATGCACTGTTCATTAAAATATTAATTTCTTGGAGGGCCAAAGGGTTAAAACGAGCCTTCTGACCCTCTTTCGGTTGGAGATGACCTTAGTCCTAAATCCTAGTGACTAGTTATGAGGACTACAAAAGCTCTCATCGATCAAGCGAGAGAGTGACCACAACCACGAACTGAATGATCTCTTCACAAAACGAGAGAGGGACTACAATAGAAACAAAGAAACAAAGAAACAAAAAAAGGAAGAGATCAAGAGGAATTGCCGCCAACCCCAAAATCAAAACAGGAGTCGGCAGCTAGAGATTCTTTTTCTTACTTTTCTCTAGCCGCAATAAGCCTTTTGTAGAGTAATACTCAAATTAATTGTGCTCCAGTACAAGCATTGTAAATGGGGTGCAACATCTAATCTAATTTATTAAGAAAAATTATCTTCTTCCTATAAAATAAAATTAAGAGATAACAATATCTAAGCATCTTCTTAACAATAATATTCCGGGAACCAGATTTGTTGTGAATGCATTGGCGGCAGTGGGATATTCTTCCTAGCTCGGATCCTTCTATTTGGCTTAATACTTTGCCTAGTTAAGCCAAAGCAGTGTGGTTTTTGAAATTTAACTAATCTTAGCTGTTTTAGGAGCTTTTCGTTGTAATCTTTTATTTTGGTTTAAGGAAATAAAAAACTTAAGAGATAACATATAAGAAATTCAACTACTTAGTAGTACGGTTTAGTGGTATTCCTCTTCGCTTGTAAGTAAGGTCATAGGTTCGATTTTGGCTAAAAACGAATTTAAACTATATTATTGTTAGCCCATTTTGAGGCTAAGCTCACTCCTCCTTCTTAGTATTGATAATATCGTTTATTCAAAAAAAAAAAAAAAAAAAAAAAAAGAAAACCATGGCCATTACCTTTTATTTCTCATGAGTAATAGATATATTGTTTTGACTTCTGAATCACACACTTTCTCCTACTACGAAAACTGAGAGAAAAAGGCACAGTAAAATACATATTTTGATAGGCTTTATGCCCTAGACAAGGGATTTTTTATTATACACATGACAGTACATCATGTGTCACTATATAAGTAGTGATATACTTGTGTCAAAAATTTAACAACTTAAAAGATAAAAAATTTCACCATTTATATAATAACACGTGATGATACATATAATCTCTACTATGAGCAATTGGGCATCTCATTATTTAACCTTCTATTTTATGAGTGAGGCATTGTCTTTTCTCCCCCACTTTTTTTACTTTTCAGGCTGATGAAAATGCAATAAAGCTAAAATTAAGAGAATTGTTATTAATAATTTAAAATTCTTATTTTGCACGTTAAATTTTCTATATTTAGAAGAAAAAAATACACTTGTAATGAGTGCTAAATGAGATTTTTGGAGTGTCAATAACAGTTTTCAAAATTAATTGTATAAATATTATTTGCTCAACTCTCACAACCAATAAAATTATATCATTCTTACAAAGTCGTGGATTGTTCGGATAGTTCATCTCCTTCACATCCAAATTGCATTAGGATGTAAGAAAATAAGCAGATAATTGTGCTGCAAAATCCAAGTTAACAGACCAGTAAAATTTCAAACCTATAAGACCATCTCCAACCCTTTGGCTAAAAGCCAAATTTTTTAGCCAGAAAAATTTGGCTTTTAGCCCAGAAACATTTTTTCTGTTTCAACCCTTCTGCCCTAAAATTTAGTCCGGAATTATTAAAGAATAAACTTAGGCTAATTTTTTTCTTAAATCAATTTTAAAAAAAATAAATAAATATGTAGATTATTGTAAATTAATTTTATGAACATTTTAATCTAAAAAAATTTAAATTCCGATAAACATTTGACATTTAGCCCGGGGGGAAAGCTGAGGGGGGGTATTTGGCCCAGAAATAACATTTGGCATTTAACCTAAAATTTTAACATGGGTTGGAGAGTGTTTGGGGGGTAATTTGGGGGGTAATTTGGCTTATAGCCCAGGTTTGGAGATGGTCTAAGAAGAGGTAAATGTGGATATATAGAATATGTTACAAGCATCTGTTACCAATAGAATGAGAGAAAAAACCCTGAGCTTGTTCAATGACTACATATCTTATTTCACTCTCTTCCTTTATAAATACAACAATGCTTTACACCAAAAAAACCAAAGATAGCTAATAAGTTGCCTGCATTAATTAGAAAATATCATTCACAGATCTACTGATGTTGAGGGCACTCGTGGCGGCGAAAGGGTCAGAAGTTCAATGTGGACGGCGAGTTCCCTACCCGGCTGCATTAGATAGTGTGCTGCGTGCATCATTACGCCTCACATCACTGTTTTCGTTTTCCTACTTGCATCTATATGTTTCACCTGTAAAAGAAGAAACAATGAGGAAAAAAAATGAGACAGCCTGCGTGTGAATGTGAAGATTAACTCTATCTCAAACAAATTGGCATTCACTCATTGCTTTGTGATATATCATTTCAAAGCTTAGAAGCTTGAGAAATTTTAGTAATGCATACGAGACCAGAAGATCGATTCCATTTTGTGATACGTCTCAAAGCTCTTAACTGCTAAGGCAAGATGCAGGTTCAAAATTGTTTGTTTCGACAAAGAACCCAACAAACTGTTTATTTTCAGTCATAGTTTCTGTGTGGATTGATCGGATCATATTTATATATATTTTTACTTCGAATTCACTCGTCTTTTCTTAGTTAGTTTCTTTTATTTTTGAGCTATTTACGTTATTTTTGTGTTTATATAGGATTTGTTATGCAAAGAAAATAAAAAATAGAACAAGTGAAATTTTATGTATGTAAAAAATTCGTCAAACTGTCTGTGTAGATCAGCTTTTAAATAAAATTAATTAAAAAAAATAATAATAATATAATGATAAATCATGATGATGTTTGAAACATCATCATGATTTCATGTTTTTTGTGGAGAAAGGAGGAACAAGGAATAAACAAAATGGAATAAAAAGAAGAGAAAGTGAGAGACTCACGGGGTTGAAAGGCAGAAAGAAAGAAAACAAGAAAATAAATAGTGGGAGACAGCTACGGATCCAAGGGAAAAAGGCAGCAAGGCTGCCAGAAAGAAAAGAATAAAGAAAGCTGCCTTTGCAGCACACCAAGGAGAAGAAAAAAAGGGGGAGCTGCCTTTGGCAGCTCGCAGCAGAGACAGAAGGAGACAGGGTGGGCAGCAGAGCAGGGAGGGGAGCAGGGTTGGGGAGCTGCAGCGTGAGAGTTTTGAGAACCAGCGTGGGAAAGGACAGCAGGCACGGGATTGGAAGGCATGCAGAGGAATATATACGGGACAGCCAAGAGAGGGTCAGAGAAGAAAAAGCTGCCCTTGCAGCCTTGAAAAACAGAAAGCTTGCGCGGACGGGAGGAGAGAGTAGCGCGGATGGGAGGAGGACAGAGACAACGTCAGGTGGACAGAAGCTGCAAGCCTTCTCTCTCTCGGTTAAATCTTTCCAACTTATGTTTTACTTTCGGTTTAATTTTTCCAAACTTCTCTTTTATTTCTGTTTTTAATAATGTGTAATTAAATTTATGTTGGTTAGAGGTTAATTCGAAACCATGATTATATTTGTAATATGAATTGATTACCTTCAGTTGTGATTTATAAGTTGTGAATTCAATTTACTTATCCGTTCGTATAAAAACTGATTTGTGTATGTTGGTTGAGAGTGCACGCTTAATTTACATGCATGAATTTGATGCTAGAATATAAGTGAATTTCACCTAATCGTTATGAACTTATTTTCACAAGTAGTAAAGGTTGCTAGTCACAATCACGTTAAGTAAATTCTTGGCAAGAGTATCATGCTTTTCATAGTTACGAATGCCTCGTCAATGCTTATAGTTTTCACAAAGTTTAATGATCTTTGATTGTATCTCTATTGTGCTTTTCACGTAGGGGACTTTTGAAGAATGTTTTGAATTGTGTATGCGTTTTCCCGTCCAATTCAATAACTTAAGGAAAACTTGAAGATTAAAAAAGTGCTGTTCACGGTTAATCTGGAGTATTGAAATTTACAATTTATTAAAAGAACAACTGGAAATCATTTTGTATGCAAGTATAACATGTGTGGAGAAGAACCCTCTAGCTAGTCCGTCATTTATCATTTCACCTTAATTTCATGTTTTTGTCAATTCTGTAATTTAATTAAGTTTAATTTATTTTTCATCAAAACCAAACACCCATCCATTATTAAATTATATTATTTATTTAGTTTTCTTTATTGTTAGTCTTTTAATTTAATTTCCGTCCATTTCAGTTCCTAGTGTTTAATTTAATTGTTTTCATTATTTTGAGTCATTTTAAGTGTGTTTCGAGTTATTAGAGTTTTTAGCCTAGTTTTGTGTCCTTGAGTCTTGTTTAATATTTTTAAATTAATTTAGAATAGATTAGCAATCCCTCCTAATCCCCGGCCTAGAACGATACCCTACTTACATCTATACTACAATTGTCAACAAGAGGGTTTAATTTGTGTGTTAAGTAATTCACGCATCAAATTTTGGCGCCGTTGCCGGGGATTAGTAACTTTGCTAATCCTTTTATTTTTGTTTTTGTTTATGTTTATATTGGTGTTTTGTGTATTTTACTTTTGATATTTTGATTTATTTTTCTTTCTTTGATTTTAGGTTCAAATGGAGCCGAGAGAAATTTAAAGGAAAGATGCGTCCGGCTAAAGACGTTAAATCAAGCGCTTCTTGGGAGGCAACCCAAGCATTCAACGAAGGGAGACTTTGGAATCACTAACCCAATCAGCTTTGCATTCTTCCACCCTTATCTTTACTGCTTTCATTTTGTTTTGTTTAGTTAGTTGTGTTATTTGGTTGATTTCTGTGAGTTTGTGTTATTTAGTTTAAGTGTGGGGGAAGATTAACCAAAGTCTCTTTACATTAATTTACATAAAAAAAAAAAAAAAAAAAAAAAAAAAAAAAAAAAAAAAAATTAAAAAAAAAAAAAAAAAAAGTACAAATATTTTACAATGATGTAAACTAATAGTATTCATTGGTCGGGTGGTGCTTCAGTAGTAGGCGGGGCTTCAGCAGTCGGCGGGGCCACAGAAGGAGGAGGCGGCAGAGGTTGATCAGTTGGAGCTTCACTACGCGGTGCCGCCCCAGAAGACGAAGGCAGATGCGGTTGGAACAAACCCACAAACCTCCGATGATCAAGTAAAATTTGACCATCGGTGTCCTGCATCTGGTCAATCTTCCTCTTCATGCTGGTGGCATAGCTGTGTGCGAGCTTGTGCAATTCCTTATTCTCATGCTTGAGCCCTTTAATCTCTTGCTTGAGACTCTGTATTTCAGCCACCAAGGATTCAACGTGACGGGTTCGGGCATATAGGCGTTGGGCCATGTTGGATACGGAACCCGCACACTGCACACTGAGAGCCAGAGACTCCTTGACCGCCAATTCATCAGACCGCCTTGCGAGCAGTCTGTTATCTCTGGGAGTGACAAGGTTTCGGGCCACCACCGCAGCGGTCATGTCATTTTTCATCATCGAATCCCCCACGGTAAGGGGACCGGTAGGGGATATGAAGGATGGCCGCCATATGTTGTCTGGTGAAGGCGGAGCTGCCTCTTCACCAATGTTCAAGTCAAAACGACGATCAGAAGGGCCAGACATTTTTCAGAGGTGGTAAAGAAAGAAGAGAGTCGGAATGATCAAGATTAAACAAGTGCAAGAAGGGAGTGTTTACAGGAGGGTACTCAAGTGTGTTGTGGAACAAGCTTAACGTCTCTATAAAAAGGAAGAAATCAAAGAGGCGCTCCTCAGAGAAGCGTCCTCTCGCAAATCGAAGAGTCGGGGCTCCGTTCTCAAACGTCTGATTCTTTTCTCAAAAGAGGAGTTTCCTTTCTCAAAAGCCGGATTCTTTTCTCAAAAGAGGCGTTTCATTTCTTAAAGGCTGGGCTTGCTCAGAAACCACGAGCCGAACCCCGGATTTCAAAAGATCAATTTGTCCAGACGTGTCGTCACTTGTCACACGCAAATTGCTTTGCGGAAATCTCGGGCAATTTGTCGAAGCACCAATTCAGAAATCGAAGAGGGAAATTCAACAGTCAAAGACACGCTAGCTTTCTCAAAAGCTGGGCTTCAACCCACACGGGAAAATCTTCTTTTTCCAGATTTATCCGCACGTGTCACATGCTACCTCTACAATCGACGATGCTCAGAGCTCGAAGCGCCGATTACAGATATCAATGAGGAATCAGCTTTGCGGAAATTACGGGCAGCTTTGTCAGAAAGCGCGTAATTTGTATTCTTCACCCATCCACCGGCTGCCGACAATGAGTGAGAGAACAGTTCCGGTTGTGAAGACAAGTCCTATAAGTTTCTACCTTCGCCTTCCACAGCAAAAGCACACTCTCTCAGCACACCCTCTCAACACCTCTTCATCTCCGAAAATGCATTCCCAAAGAATCCTCTCGAGTCACTCTGTGTTCCTCATTCCTTGGGATACTCCAGCGAACAACCCATTCAAAGCAAAAGTATTTCATATCATAAAGGTTGAAAGCAAGAGTATCTCATATCATGCTTTCTCCATGTCCTTTCTCCTTGTCTTTGTTTTCCGACAAGGAGAAAGAGAGCAATCAGCCAGCATTTGGTATCAATCTTCCAATCTGGAGCCAACTGCCTGGAACCCTTTCCTGATTGCTTACCTAGCCTTGCTCTCGAGTACTCATCTTCTTCATCTTATGCTTCCGTTTTGTCTACCACATCTACTTGGGGGACAAGTAAGGGAGGTGAAAATGAGACCTCGAAGCATGTGGAGACAATTCAGCTAGGGACAAGGAGAAAGAAAGCAAGAGGTGGGCACTTGGAAAGATTGAAGAAAGAAATAAGGACCAACACCTTTCCCTCGTGCCTGCCCGTTGTGCAGAAGAGAAACAAGCAGAGAAGAATGCAGCTTGCACAATCATCCCAGCGGAAGGAGTCCGAACTGAGGAACTAGAGAAGCTGCCACATCTGCTTGGAGAACAAATAAGGAACTGCAACATAACCAAAGAGCAAAGCTTCGCCGTACAATATCATAAAATCATCACTTGCAAGTGAAAAGCTAAGTGTCACCCTGTTCAAGAGGAAAGCTGTGGAAAGTCAACAAGCACGACCAATGATTATTTATTAGTTTTATTCATTATCTTTTATCGTAATTTTCAATTTTTCGTTTGCAATTTTTTTTAATTAATTTTCTTGCGTACTTAACTGAATTTTTCCTTTTCTTTGCAGGAACTTTTGGTTATTTCCACCCTTGAAGTTGATTGCAGAATTTTAGCTTGGGGGTCATCGCTTGATTTTACTGCAAATTAGGGAAGTTTTCAGTCCAATTGCGTTATTTTGTTTCTTATTATTTATTTATTTTATTTTATTTTTTTATTTGCATTATAGTGTTTTCTGACATTGGGGACAATGTCCAGTTTAAGTGTGGGGGTAGAAATCTCCAGAATTTCATTTGTTTCTGTGTTGCTGTTTTTTGTGTTCTTAATTAGTTTTGTTTTCTTTTTAAAAAAAAAAAAAAAAAAAAAAAAAAAAAAAATTTAAATAAAAAATCGGAAAATTTAAAAATCTAAAAATATTGTCTTGTTTCCCTTATTGTTTTGAATTAGATTTTTGTTAGTTTCCCGACCCAATGATATAATTGGATCAAATTTGAACCATGATCATCAAGAACTTAGTTAACATGTGTTTTGTGAAATTCCTAATTCTCTTGTTAGTTTTGTACATGTTTGATCATCTTTGAAAAACCAAATGCACATAGCCTTGTTAATGTGAAACTAAAGTATGACTTAAAGCTTCATATGTGAATTTAGTGACCATATATACATCCTATGTGAGTTTTTGAGCCGATTGAAAGTGTGTGCATTTTTCATACACTCCTATTCTTTCATGTGTGATGAACTTATGTGAGATACATCTCTAGAACTTGCGTAACGATCTTTCGAAATGTTTGTCATCGATTGCATGAACTTGGAAATGATAGAGGCATTAGGTTTACCACTATGGCCCAAAGAACCATGTTTCCCAAAGAAAATTGATATCATTAGATTGCCAATTTGAGCCGTGTATGTTGAGCCTTTTATTTCTTATCACCAGATATGTCTACCCTTATACCTGAAACATTTTTCCTTACCCTTTCCAAGCGAGCAATGTGAGATTGTCTTATGAGAAATGTTTGTAAAGTACTTTGAAGGTGTTTGGCAAAAAAAAATAAGTGTGGGGGTATTTCATGTTTGTATTAAAAAAAAAAAAAAAAAAAAAAAAAAAAAAAAAAAGAAAGAAAAAGAAAGATTGTATACGAAGAAAAGAAAAAAAAAATAATGTTTTTAAAGTTTCAGTTTAAGGGTGTGATTGGAGGTTTCAGAAGAATCGTTGGAAAGATTGAGTTCTTATAAATCTAAACAAAAGAATTGCTTGCAATGTAGCTTGGAACTTGTGTTTTCCTATTCTTTCGTTTCAATAACCCTATCCCTAAGCCTCATTACATCCAATAAAAGTCCTCTTGATTTAAGTTTTGCAATTATGATTGTGGAGATGAGATCTTTATGCAAGCTTATGGTAGAAATTTCACATTTGATTCTTTGAGCAAAACACATTAAAACTAAACACATGTGTGATTCAGTGCATATCCCGTGAGAAGGTCGCTAGTTTGCATATGATGATTTTAAAAATAAAAACTTGAAATTGCATTAGCATGGCTATCTCACACACTACACTTCAAGGATGATTTAAAGATTACTGCTAATATTTGAATAAGGAAGATGAACTTGGATTAGTTCCTTGATGCTAGCTATGGTTCTTGATGATTTGTTTTCTTGAATGAAATTCTATGAGGGTCACATAGAGGGAAGCTAATGTTTTTCTTGTTACTTCTTGTTCTTATTTTCTTTGTTTTGCTCGAGGACTAGCAAAAGTTAAGTGTGGGGGTATTTGATCGGATCATATTTATATATATTTTTACTTCGAATTCACTCGTCTTTTCTTAGTTAGTTTCTTTTATTTTTGAGCTATTTACGTTATTTTTGTGTTTATAGGATTTGTTATGCAAAGAAAATAAAAATAGAACAAGTGAAATTTTATGTAATAAATTCGTCAAACTGTCTGTGTAGATCAGCTTTTAAATAAAATTAATTAAAAAAATAATAATAATGATAAATCATGATGATGTTTGAAACATCATCATGATTCATGTTTTGTGGCAGGAAGAAAGGCATAACAATGGAATAAAAATAGGAGGAAAGTGAGAGACTCACGGGGTTGAAAGGCAGAAAAGAAAGAAAACAGAAATAAATAGTGGGAGACAGCTACGGATCCAAGGGAAAAAGGCAGCAAGGCTGCCAGAAAGAAAAGAATAAAAGAAAGCTGCCTTGCAGCACACCAAGGAGAAGAAAAAGGGGGAGCTGCCTTTGGGCAGCTCGCAGAGACGCAAGGGACAGGGTGAGCACAGGGAGCTGCCCTTTTGGGCAGCGTGAGAGTTTTGAGAACCAGCGTGGGAAAGGACAGCAGGCACGGGATTGGAAGGCATGCAGAGGAATATATACGGGACAGCCAAGAGAGGGTCAGAGAAGAAAAAGCTGCCCTTGCAGCCTTGAAAACAGAAAGCTTGCGCGGACGGGAGGAGAGAGTAGCGCGGATGGGAGGAGGACAGAGACAACGTCAGGTGGACAGAAGCTGCAAGCCTTCTCTCTCTCGGTTAAATCTTTCCAACTTATGTTTTACTTTCGGTTTAATTTTTCCAAACTTCTCTTTTATTTCTGTTTTTAATAATGTGTAATTAAATTTATGTTGGTTAGAGGTTAATTCGAAACCATGATTATATTTGTAATATGAATTGATTACCTTCAGTTGTGATTTATAAGTTGTGAATTCAATTTACTTATCCGTTCGTATAAAAACTGATTTGTGTATGTTGGTTGAGAGTGCACGCTTAATTTACATGCATGAATTTGATGCTAGAATATAAGTGAATTTCACCTAATCGTTATGAACTTATTTTCACAAGTAGTAAAGGTTGCTAGTCACAATCACGTTAAGTAAATTCTTGGCAAGAGTATCATGCTTTTCATAGTTACGAATGCCTCGTCAATGCTTATAGTTTTCACAAAGTTTAATGATCTTTGATTGTATCTCTATTGTGCTTTTCACGTAGGGGACTTTTGAAGAATGTTTTGAATTGTGTATGCGTTTTCCCGTCCAATTCAATAACTTAAGGAAAAACTTGAAGATTTAAAAAAGTGCTGTTCACGGTTAATCTGGAGTATTGAAATTTACAATTTATTAAAAGAACAACTGGAAATCATTTTGTATGCAAGTATAACATGTGTGGAGAAGAACCCTCTAGCTAGTCCGTCATTTATCATTTCACCTTAATTTCATGTTTTTGTCAATTCTGTAATTTAATTAAGTTTAATTTATTTTTCATCAAAACCAAACACCCATCCATTATTAAATTATATTATTTATTTAGTTTTCTTTATTGTTAGTCTTTTAATTTAATTTCCGTCCATTTCAGTTCCTAGTGTTTAATTTAATTGTTTTCATTATTTTGAGTCATTTTAAGTGTGTTTCGAGTTATTAGAGTTTTTAGCCTAGTTTTGTGTCCTTGAGTCTTGTTTAATATTTTTAAATTAATTTAGAATAGATTAGCAATCCCTCCTAATCCCCGGCCTAGAACGATACCCTACTTACATCTATACTACAATTGTCAACAAGAGGGTTTAATTTGTGTGTTAAGTAATTCACGCATCATGGATACTGGTGAATCGTTCAAGAATTTTTACCCACTTTGAGATAGCCGTCTCCAATTCATTGTTTGGTGAGACTGAGGATGTCTCTGCAAGTACGAACTTGTTCCAATGTTATTGTCTTCACTGCCAAACTTCTATGAGTAGCTAGAACTTGAGTTGAAGGAGACCAAACTGAAACTACACCTCCATCCCTCTCTCGCCTAGTGCTACTGGAAGATGTTGGATTTTTTGTATCAAGCTAGAGCATTCACAAGATTTCATAAAAGATGCGCAAGATTTGGATAAAAATGGAGAAGAGAAGAATTCTGTGAAAAATGGTCATTGCCAACAAAACCAGAAAGTTGGCCTTTGGCTTTCTTTGTTGATTTCAACGGAGAGAGAGTTTCAAGAGAGAGATTTTCTCTTCTTACAATGCCATGGCTTCCTTAACACCCTTCGACCAACTTATCTGCAGCCATATTGGTTTTTCAAGACAAAACCAAAACACCAACGTGGCCTTCACAAAGCCACACAAGTCCTAATGTAATATTACACAAAAGGACAATTGAAGTTCTTATAATTACAACTTAACATTAATATATATTTAACACTCCCCTTTAATGTGAAGTTGTTGAACTCCCAAGAGTGTTCTCAAGTATAGGAACCTGATCTTTGGCAATGCTTTGGTGAAAATATCAGCAACTTGCTCTTCTGTTCTGTAATATACTAGGTTAACATATTTTTCTTCAATAGTATCTCTGATGCAATGATTCTTCAGTTTGATTTTCTTAGTAGCACCATGATTGACAAGATTCTTGGACATTGCTATCTCAAATTTGTTGTCACAAAGGAGAGGAGTTGGCTCCTTTTACTTCTCACCAATATCATTCATGATTTTCCTCAGCCACATTGCTTGAGTGCTTGCCAAAGTAGCTGATACATATTTAGCTTCCGCAGTCAATAGAGCAACATTGTCTTGCTTCTTTGAAGTCCATGAGAAAACACCAGTACCTAATAAATAAGCATACACCGATGCACTCTTCATGTCATCCATGCTACCTGCCCAATCACTATCACAAAATTCAACTAGTTTCGGCTTAACATTTATCTCATACAGAATGCCAAAATCCAGTGAACCTTGAATATATCTCAGTATTCTTTTTAGTAGTCCCAAGATGAATTTAAATTGGTTTACTTTGAAACCTAGACAACAGTGAACTTGCATACATAATATCTAGTCATGTAGCAGTTAAATACATCAAGCTTCCGACAATGCTCCTGAACTATGAGACATCTACCTCATCACTTCCATCTTCTTTTTGTAGCTTCTCATTAGCCACAAGAGGTGTAGATACAGACTTACATCCTATCATTCCATACTTTTCAAGGAGATTCTTAGCATATTTTTCTTGTGAGATAAAGATGCTTTCATTGGTTTGGCACACACCAATTCCCAAAAAATGATGCAACAAGCCTAAATCACTCATTTCATACGTCTTCATCATATCTCTCTTGAAATTAAAAATCATTTTTATTTTCACAACTTATAGTAAACACCAAATCATCAACATAGATGGAGACAATAAGAAATTTTGAATTACCTTTAGTTTTTGTGTACAAAGTAGCCTCACGCTTGCTCCTTTTAAAGCCATTATTGATGAAGTAAGCATCAATCTCCCCATACCATGCACGGGGTGCTTGCTTCAACCCATAAAGAGCTTTCTTCAATTTGTACAGTTTTATTTCTTCATTTTTTATGACAAAGCCTTCTGGTTGGTCAACATAGACTTCTTATTTCATAACACCATTCAAGAATGCTGACTTGACATCTAGCTGGTGTAAATACCAACCCTTCTGAGCCACCAATGTAGTTAGGATCCGAACAGTCTCAAGTCCTGCCACCGGTGCAAAAGTATCATCGAAACTCCAAGTTTTTGTGAGTAGCTCTTTTCAACTAGCCTTACCTTGTTCTTTTGGATTGAACCATCCAAATTCAACTTTGTCTTGTAAATCCACTTGACACCAATGACATCTTTATCACTAGGCCTATCCACCAATTCCCATGTGGAATTCTTCTTAATCACTGAGATTTCTTCCTCCATAGCTTTTTGCCAAGCTACATCTTACATAGCCTTTTCAAAAATTTCTGATTCAATGACACAAAAATTACAACTTCCATACACATCACTAAGACGTCTCATTCTAATAGAAGTTGAGCTAGGTGTAGACGCTTGTGATTGTGGGGATGAAGGGCTTGCATGTGACTGTGGTGATGAAGAGCTTGCTTCTTGAGGAAGAGATTGTGGTGGAACTTCATTTTCAACTTCAACTTCGTTTTCTTTATCTTTGTTGCTATCATCAACTTGAAGTGAAGAATTTTGGGTGGATTTGTTCTTCTAATCCCAAGATGTTTTTTCATTGAAAACAACATCTCTTGAAATTATAATTTTCTTCTTCAAATCAAAGAGCCTATAACCCTTTGTATGACCACTGTACCCCATAAAGATATATTTCTCGCTATTTTCTTCAAGTTTGTGCATGAGGTTCTTAGGAACATGAGCATAGCAAATCGACCCAAACACCCTTAAATGATTTATAGATGGTTTTTGGTCACTGTATGCTTCAAATGAATTCTTGTCCTTTAAAGCTTTAGTAGGAGACCTATTGATTAGGTAGACAACATTATATACGGCTTCTCCCCAAAATTCATAAGGCATCCCATTCTCAATAACATAGACTTTGCCATGTCAACAATAGTCATGTTCTTCCTCTTAGCTACACCGTTGCGGTGAATAAGCTGCAGTCAGTTGCCTTTCAAGTCTCATATCTTCACAGGATCTTCCAAACTCATTTGAGGTGTACTCAACACCTCTATCATTTATAAGAGTTTTAATTTTCAAACCCTTTTGATTTTCCACCATAGATTTGAACTTCTTAAACACATAGAATACTTTTGATTTATGCCTCAAGAAATAAAGCCATGTCATTCTTGAAAAATCATCTACAAAAATCAGAAAGTATTTGTCACCTCTATGAGTGGTGGTTTTCATTGGTCCACAAACATCCGAGTGAACGAGCTCCAAAGGTTTAGATGCTCTCCATGCTCATTTTCTTGGAAATGAGTCTCGGTGTTGTTTCCTATAGCAAAACCCTCACATGCTTTTTGTGCTTCATATATGGTAGAGAGCCCATATACCATGGCATGTTGTTGAAGATGTTTCAAACTTCGGAAATTGAGAAGTCCGAACCTCCGATGCCATAACCATTGTGACAACTCATCCCTAATTTTACAATTTTATTCATTTTAAAAGAGTGAATTGACGAAAATGCCCTTTGAGGTAAGATTGTTGACTTTCGTTGACCATCATTTCATGACACGTACGAGATACTATTTTACCATATTCTCGAAGTACTAAATGGTATGAACACATAGGCATAAATGGAATCAAAATCGGAGCTACAGTTAAAATTTTACAAACTACGATCTTAAAGGGCGTTTTAGTAATTTTGTGTTTACTGGAGATAATTTAATTTTGTCTTTTTGGCCTTGGGCTGTGTACCACATGGGGCCCACACCCCATACTCCTCCCTCACTCTCGTGTCTTCCAACTCTCTCGAGCGCCTCACTCTTTCTCTCTCTCGGATTCCCTTAACTCTCTCATCCCTCACCTTTCATTTTTTTCAAACTCTCTACCCTCTCTATACAACCCATGTCGAGGACCACCAACACTAGTTATCACTCTATCTCCTCCGACAAGCCTCACTGAACCACCATCTAAACATCACAACCCCGTCATCATTCCCAAAACTTAGAAACAAGAGGATCGGGTTTCCTCATTTCTCCCTTGTTTCCCTCATCTCTGGGATTACAGAAGACCTTGGAGTGGTGGAGTTGCCATTACCTTATCGATCTCATATCACTACCATGCCTCGCATGTTCTCCCTCGAGCTCTGAAATGAACATCGGAGCGATGTTTTCTGGCGAGTTTCCCCATTTTTGACATAGGTAAGCCTCGGGACTTTATCTAATCTTCATTATAGATCGATCAAAACCTAGTTTTGACCCATCTCAACCGTTTTGGTGAAGATTTAAAATGAAGCTGACACGGGGGAAGAAATTCTCTAGATTTCCAGCATGAACCCATGATCATTTGGCCACCTTCAGATCATTTTTTCGACCAACGCCGACGATAACTTAGCCCCACTTTGATATGGACTTGTTCTCCACGTTTCTAGCTTCAATATGGCCTTTGAGTCATAGATTTTGGTTGACTATCGAGTTCAAAATAAGCTATGGAAGTCAAAGTTAAAACTTGCAAACGCAGGCCTTCGCGAGGAAGGCAAGTACGATGGTACTCACAAGCGTGTGGGCTCATGTTAGTTGTTGGCGCATGCGGCTCGTGGCTACAAATGCAGCCACCTTGTGGCGTCACATATGATGGTGCGTGGAGGAACCCAAGGTCCCTTCTTAGGTTTCTCGACGTGTCAAATCCGGATCCGTTGTCCGTTTTCCAAAATTTGACTGTTTTAAAATAGTTCTTTTATTAGCCTTACTGTATACGAAAATGCGTAATTACGTTTGTACGTTATATTTCCGTAAATGGTTTCGTTTCTAGGTGAAACGCATTGCAAGGATATTCAATGCCCGTGAGGTGGGTTTGACCCGACGACATGATCTTTATTAATGAATTTTCTACGTGATTACCATAATTAAATTAACGTTTATAAGGAATGCCTTATTGTTGGGAAATTATGAAATAATCCTACGAGGTGCATAGGTAAGCTTACTATAAGGAGATGCCTTATTTATATTTATGGTAAGGAATGATATTCTATTGACTAGAATTGTTGAATTATTGTGGCATGATCATATTTACATTATCTGCTCATCATTGATGCACCGGTGTTAGTATTCGCCCGAGCCAAGGCCAGTTTTTCACGTGTATGTTCACATCGCAGTGTACGCTCACTTTAGATCCATTGTAGGTGCCAGTTATGCCCTAGATTGCTATAGGCAATTAGGACTCATATGTGACGCACATAGCGCTAGTCTTCATGTGATTGTAGTACTAGAGCATAAATCATTATTACACCTAGTCATGTTCATGTCAGAATACCTCTGCATGAACTCGTGTCAGCATGTGTCGATGAGCACTCAATATGATATGTTCATTTATGCGAGATTATGTGATATCGGTTGTTATGTGTTTATTTACGCAATATTGCGACGTATGGCATTCTTGAGATATTACAGGCTACGGTAAGTATTTTCATACTATACATAATATATATATTTGGAAACTATACTTGTTTTACGGCGAGGGGTTATAATGTTTTCAAAAAGGCTTTTATAAAACTTTATTTTTAAACCCACTCACCCTTGTTTTTTGCCCCTCCAAGTTTTAGTAGCTGAGCTTTCTTATCAACGTGGATTCTTGGAAAATCTTGGTACTAGAGATTACCTTTGATGG